GCTATGTCTTCAGATTCACTAATCTCTTCATCTGTGGTATGTAATCTGCAGTTGAACTCATCCAATGAGTGCACTTTTCAGCTCAGAAACTGCAGGGTAACAGAGGGAGATTCCAACTCAAAAATAATAATAATAATAATAATAATAATTTTTTTTTAGTCAGAGTCTCCATTGCCCAGGCTGAAGTGCAGTGGCATGCTTACGGTCACTGCAGCCTCAACCTGTTGGGCTCAGGTGATTCTTCTGCCTCAGCCTTCCAAGTAGCTGGAACTACAGGCACACACTACTACCATGCCTGGCTAATTTTTTTGACTTATTGTAGAGACAAGGTCTCGCCAAGTTACTCCGGATGGTCTCGAAGCCCTGGGCTCAGGCAATCCTCTTGCCTTGGCCTCCCAAAGTGCTGGGATTACAGGCTGAGCCACCGCGCCTGGCCAAAAAATGTTATTTTTAACTGATGATTGTCCATATTCATGGGGTACATAGTGATGTTTTGATACAGATCATACATAGTGATCAGATCAGGGTAATTAGCATATCCATCATCTCAAACATTTATCGTTTATTTATTTATTTAGGAGTAAGGGAAGGCCAGTTGTTAAGGTCCCAGTCCTCAGGTAGTGGCCAACCTGCCTCCTCCAGCCCCTCTACGATGGCCACTCCATCGTCCTCAAGGTCCAGATCAAGGTGGCCCATGAAGAGACCACAGCACAAACCCAAAGCAAGCTGGTGACCAGCTCTGCACCCACACGCCCGCAGTGTTGGCTGCATGAACCCCACAGCGCCCAGGCCCACTGCATATGAGGCGCCATTAGTCATTTCCTTGTGTTGGGAATATTCAGTATCTTCTAGTTATTTGAAACTGTATGCAGTGGCTCATGCCTGCAATCCCAGCAACTTTGGGAGCCTGAGGTAGGACAATAACTTAAGCCCAGGAATTTGAGACCATCTTAGACCACAGAGTGAGACCCCATCTCTACAAAAAATTTAAAAACTTGGGGGAGCACACCTCATCAATAAGGGTGCCTGCATAGTGAACCTTTGTATACCTAACCCTAAATTGTGACCCAGGTCTTTATTTTATTTCACTTTATTTTATTTGAGAGAGGAAAGATGAAAGAAGGAGGAAGAGGGGGAGGAGGAGGGAGAGGGAAGAGAGAGGAGAGAAAAGAGAAAGTAGAATGGAGTGAAAAGTGAGAAAAATAAGAGAGTGAGAGGAGAGAGGGAGAGAGAAAAGTAAGCTGAATGTCCCTTTTATTCCGCCCCACATCTTTAAAGTAAAAAATTAAGCCAGGCATGGTGGCTCATGTCTATAATCCCAGCAATTTGGGAGGCCGAGGTGAGAGGATTTCCTGAGCCCATGAGACCAGCATGGGCGACTTGGTGAGACCTCATCTCTACAAGAAATCAAAAAATTAGCTGGGCGTGGTATTGCGCACCTGTAGTTCCAGCTATTTGGAAGACTGAGGCGGAAGAATCACTGGAGCCCAGCACGTCGAGGCTGTGGTGGCCAGGAGCAGCCAATGCACTCACTCTGGGTGACAGAGTGAGACTCCAACTCAAAATACATACATACATAAATTAGCTAGCATGGTGGCACACAACTGTAGCCCCAACTACTCAAAGGCTGAGGCAGGATTTCCTGAGCCCAGGAGATTGAGGCTGCTGTAAGCTGTGATCATGCCACTGCGCTCCAGCATAGGTGACAGAGTGAGGCCCCAACTTGAAAAACAGAAAATACATAATATGCGATCATTAACCGTAGGTACTCTGCAGTTCTCGGGAACCCTGGAACTCACTCCTGTATCTAGCTGTAAACTCTCATCCCTTAACAAATCTCTCCTTATCATTCCTTCCCTGCCCCGCCCACCCCCAGCCTCAGCATCCTTTGTAGTTTTCATGTCTAGAAGTTCAGTCTGGGTCTTTTTGTATCTCCGTGTCTCTTTTTAACTTTGCGATCATGTGGAGTACAGTTATAATAACTCAATTTCCTTGTCTCAATTCTAACATCGATGTCACTTGCTGATTAAATTCATAGATTTTCTTTCTTCATTTTATGGGAACTGTTTTCCTGTTTCTCTGATTAGATGTTGGGCATTGTGAATTCAACATTGCTGGGTACTGAAGGTTTCTGTGGCTTTTAAAATAATTATTCTTGTTCTTTGTTCTGGAATGCAGTTAAATTATTTGGACGCAGTTTGATTTTTTCTGGTCTTAGTCTGGGGTTTTTTGTTGGTTTTTGTTTTCTTTAGTTGGGGTCTCACTCTGTTACCTGTCAGTCTGGAGTGCAGTGGCATGATCATGGCTCACTACAACCTCAAACTCCTAGGCTCAAGCGATCCTTCTGCCTCAGACTCCTGAGTAGCCGGGACCTATGGGCACAAGTCCCACACCCAGATAATTTTGTTTTGTTTTGTTTAGAGACGATGTCTTGCCATGTTGCCCAGGTTTCAGGTCTTACTTTGAAGATGTGTTGGGCAAGACCCAAGCAATGTTTAGTCTAGGACTAATCATTCTCCTCTATGGAGTAAGAACCTTCTCAGTATTCTACCCAGTGCCCATGAATTAGGACATTTTCCATCTCAGCTGGTGGGAAAAGCACTATTTCTCAGCCTGTGTCCAGCTTCCAGGAGCGTCTTCACACAGGTGCTGACAGTTCTGCTTGATACTGGGGACGCTCCGCAGATGCCCCGCGTTCTCTGCACAGCTCTTTCCAGTGTTCCATATCATGAATTCTTGCCACTGTGGTCTCCCTGGACTTCCAGCTGTCCCAACTCATGGGGTCTGCTGGGCACATCTCCCTCTCCACGCACCCCAGCGTGGAATTTCTCTAAAGGCAGCAAGCCAGAGCTGTCACGGGGCTCGTCTTGTCTCCCCTCTCCTAGGAAGCACTGTTCTTCGATTTCCAGGGTCTTAGAAACTATCGCTTCATCTATGCTGTCCTTTTGTTGTTGTTCACTGGTACTTTCCTGATGCTTTGCCTGGGTCTGAAGCAGAAGTCTCCTGGGACTCAGTTACATCATATAGTTCTCATCCCATATATCCTGTACTCTCTCACTGAACTTGTGCCTCAATACAACTTCTGTTGCAGTTGTAGCTAGACTGTTTCTTCCCATTTCCATGTCTAGGCACTCGTTTCTAAAGTGGAGAAACACTTGCAGTATTTGCTATGCAACATTTAGTTTGCTGAACGTTGCCCTGAAATTGAGCCATTCATCAGTCAAAAATGTACACAACAGCAAGTAACAGGCATCCAGAACTGGTACAGATGCCCAGCAATGCCAACAGGAACCCAAGCTCTGCGCCCCCCCACCCCCACCCCGCCACACATTGACTTTTGTCCTCATGCTTTTGTTACCTCTTGGCACAAAATGGCTGCTACAACTCCAGGCCTCATGTACATGATCTAAGCAGGAAAAGGAAAGGAGGAAATGACAAGTAACTCATATCAGGAAAGCAATAGATTTCTCAAAATAAACTTAGTTTGTGTCCTATTAGCTAGAAGTATAACATTTGGCCGCCTGTAATAGAAAGTCAGCCTGGAGAACCAAGTGTTTAGCTGGAAATTTTACAGAAAGAAAGGGAGGGAGGGAACTAGAGGGGGGGGAACTAGAGAGGGAGGGAGGGGGAAAAGGAGGAAGGGAGGGAGGGAGGAAGGAGGAATGGGAAGGAGGGAGAGAAGGCGGGAGGAAGGAAAGGAAGAAAGGAAGAAGAACGTCAGGGTCTGATTGGTAATAAGGAACAATTACAATTAAACCAGCAGCTAACATGACCTATACACTGCTCTTACCGTCTTAGAATAAACCCTGCTGAGTCACAGCGAACTGTTCTTTAAATACATTCACAAATTCTACTCGGTAATATTTTGAAGGTGTTTTTTAAGGCTATTGCCAATATTCAGGGTCAAAGAACTTAAACTAGGGTAGTACAAATGGGAATAGGAAGACTGAAACCTTTTTTTTTGAGTCTGCATTTTGGTGAGTTGTGTAATTATTTCATTATATATTACAATGTAATAATAATAGAAATAAAGTGCACAATAAGTGTAACGTCCGTGAATCATCCTGAAACTACCCTCCCTCACCCCGGTCCACAGAAATCTTGTCTTGATGCTAAAAAGGTTGGGGACCGATGCTTTGAATCATCTGATTGTCTTGTATATTGACAGATCTGCCTGATATCCATATATGTAACTATATACACAAATATCCACTAATTCTATAAGTGATATCATGCACTGGCAAGTATGTGACATCTGGTTTTCTTCCTGTGATGTCAGGAGTTACAGACAATCAATTTCTAGGTGTCACAAATGTCTGTTGATTGAAACATTTTCAATGTATCTTCAGAGGCATCAAGGCCTTGTGACAGACCTGTGATGAACTGCACATAGAAATGCTAGGAAACAAGTGAGAACAGAAAGTGCTACATTTATTTTAAGAAGGAGTAATTAATCACCAGTGGTATTATATGCTAAACTGCCTTTAAATACTAAAGCTGAAGTATTTGTGAAACTTTCTGAGTTTGATTTCTTTAAATTTGGAATGTCTTAAGGTATTTAGCATTTAATTCAACATTTATAAAAAGCTGTAACATCACAGGACAGATGACAACATTTAAAAATGAAAAATTATAATCACTTTTCGGTACTTTTCTGAAAATAAAACTGCTGTGATCACAGTATTGTGGTCATTTTAGGTCTTTATCTTTCAGGGATGCACTGTAGATGAAATGACACATGGAGTATTTGCTTCAAAATAACAGGAGCGTCATGGAGGAAGTGGATGAAGCTGAAACAGGATTGGCCATGAGCTGCTGATGATTGTTGAACATGTGCACTGAGTGTGTGGGATTCTCTGTATTACTCTGTCTTCTGAGTGTGTTTGAAACTTCCCACAATAGGTGATTTTAGTGTTTATAGAATGAAAGCATAAATGTGTATGTACAAATGTCAACATATAAATATTTGTTTCAAATGATAAGCAAAGTGTCAGCAGCGATTCTAATCCAAAGAATTTTATTGCTTTTAAAAAAGGGAACTGTCCAGGTCAGTATCCATGGCAGGATAGCTCTGCTGCTCCCTAACTTGGTCACAGGCAGTCATGAGAAGACTCTCCAAACCTCTATGGCCACTGCCACCTTCCTCACCACCATCTTCAGCTTGAGTTCACAATCCCCGATGGCTCCTATGTCTAGACTTTGTCAAATTGAACATGCAAAGCAACAATGACTGCGTTTAGTGTATGCTGCCAGCAATCTTAAGCCCCAAACGCTTCAAAGATTAAACAGTCATACACATTTAAAATACATAGAAAAATAATATAATTAGAATTTATACAAAGTAGATTTTTACAAAACAACTTCACTACAAGAAATACATTTTATATCCAAGCACAAAAATGTGGAAATATGCACGGATGTATGTGTGTTTAAGAAACAACATCTTTATTTCTAAATGCTGAGTGAAAAGGCATAGACTAAATTCTGCATTAGCGATAACATTTCAGAGACAATTTGAATTGACTTGCAGAGATTTTCACTCCACTCCCTAGCATCTCTAAGTAGTTCTGAAGGGATTAAACAGCTGTTCCTCTTTCCAAATTCTGTTTAATTTCAGCCGTATACTTCCCATAGAATCTTTCTGCTTTCTTGTTAAACTTGGCATTCCTTTCATTGATGTAGTCGATATCTGCATCATCATTATAAGGACGTCTCCGGCTGTATTTGTCTCGCTTTTGAATTCTGGGGGAAAAAGAAAATAATTTACAAAATTCAAAACTGCCTTCTTTTCTGATTGCAATAAAAACACAGCCAAATAGTTAAGAATAGAATCAGTACATTTAGAATAGCACACTTTTGGAAAAAAAGAAAGTTCAGTTTTCATCAAGTTCATATTAAAACTGCTAATTAGCCAAGCATGGTAGCTCATGGTAGCTCATGCCTATAATCACAGTATTTTGGGAATTCAAGACCATCCTGGGCAACACAGCAAGATCTTATTACTACAAAAAATTTAAAAATTAGCTGGATGTGATAGTATACACCTGTAGTCCTAGCTGTTGGGAAGACTGAGGCAGAAGAATCGCTTGAGCCCAGAGTTGGAGGCTGCAATGAGCTACAATCATTCCTCTGCACTCCAGAATGGGCAAAAAAGACCCTGCCTTTAAAAAAAAAAACCAACTGCTAATTAATGGCACAACCCAGAGTATGAACTGTGAAATCCAGTAGACACCAACTCATCTTCAGAATGCTTCTAAAAGAGTAAAAGAGCAATGGCACATTGTTGAGAGCTAAACTTAAGTTATTACTTTAAAGAAGTATTACAGTAATAATTATAATAATAACCACAGCTAATACTGAGTGAACAGTATGTGCCAGACAATACTCTTAATACTTTACATGGATAAACAAAATAGAGATTCATTCTGCTCTATCTGACACCTCTATCAATATTAAGAAATAGAAATTCCCTAAGCCCGCGGGCTCAAGAACAGCCCGGGCAACTTGGCGAGACCTCATCTCTACAATAAATCAAAAAATTAGCCAGGTGTGG